AAAAAAAAAAAAAAAAAAAAAAAATCACTTATGCTTGCTTTATAAAGTATTTCTAACAAGAAATAATCATTTCTTTGATAAATGAAAGGACCTGTAAGAAGTATTAATAAGTATTCTTTGTTCTCTTCATTCGGTTATGCTATGAAAATCATTTCTGCAGAGCTAAGTGCAATCTCTTCGGAGAGAGTCGTGTTGAGCCCGAGGAAAATAATGCTTGCAATGGCTTATTACGCTCCGAATTTCAATCTAACAAGCCAGCAGGTGTGGCACAGTTGCAGTTATTTCTTTTAATTGTTTTCAGAATCCAACTATGTGTTTCATGTCGTATTGTGTTACTGTCGGTTTGTAGGATGCAGCAGAAGCATTCCTTCATCTTCTTTCTTCATTAAAAGAAGAGATTTCGGATTATAATCATCCGCCGCAGTGTTCGTTAGTCGATGTGTTGGCTTCTAATGGTAGGATTATTACTTCCAGGAGTAAGAGCCCCAGTGAGCTTGAAAGATGGCAAGGTCACTTCCTTGTACCATTTGATGGTATTCTTGGTAGCATCTTAACTTGTCAAAGTTGTTCTTCCCAGGTTTATTCTGACTTCATAACATTAAATTCATAGGTCTTCTGGGTCATACTTTCTTGTTATTTCTTTATTCTTGTATAAACTTTCGTGTGATTCCCTTGTCGTGAATTTTTCTGCATGTTACTGGTAATGAAACATTTTATTAAGTTGGAAAACTTTAACTCATGGTGGATTTATCTTACCTTTTACATTCCCAATTGTAATGGCCCAAGCCCACCGCTAGTAGATATTGTCCTCTTCAGGCTTTCCATTAAGGTTTTTAAAACGCGTATGCTAGGGAGAGGTTTCCACACCCTTATAAAGAATGCTTCGTTCTCCTCCCCAATCGATGTGGGATCTCACATTCCACCCTCCCTTCAGGGCTCAACGTCCTCTGGCACTTGTTCTCTTCTCTAATCGATTTGGGACCCCCAATCCACCCCTTTAGGACCCGGTGTTCTTGCTGGCACACCTGCCTCGTGTCCAACCCCCTTCGGGGCTCAGCCTCCTCGTTCTGATACCATTTGTAACTACCCAAGCCTACCGCTAGCAGATATTGTCATTTTTGGGGTTTCACTCAAGGTTTTTAAAACGCGTATGTTAGAGAGAGATTTCCACACCCTTATAAACAATGCTTCGTTCTCCTCCCCCGCCGATGTGGGATCTCACAATCTATCCCCCTTCGGGGCGCAGCGTCCTCGCTGGCACTCGTTCCCTTCTCCGATCGATGTGGGATCTCACATTTTCTATTCTAGTAGTTCATTTCTCTATATTTTTTATTTGGGCATTTGATTTCTTTGTTCATTAACTGGCTTTTTTTTTTTTTTTTGCAGATCTCACTGAGTTTTGAATCCTTTCACAATTTGCCCCTTTCACCAGTGCTTAGGGGTGATTCTACTATTGTATGTCTGTTCACCATTTTACTCTTTGGTATTGGAGACCATTTCTTAAAATATCATGCCCCATTATTCTTGTATAACACAGCTACATAATGTTTTTCCTGTACTCATAGGCCTTTTCAACTGCAATAGTAGGTTTTCGGCTGTACGTTGCTGGATTGCTTAAAGCAGTTCTTTGCTGCTGAAAAGGTCGAGAATTATCGTTGCAGCTCTTGTTGGCATGATGCTGGCTTGAAGTATCTGTCCTCAATGGGAGCATCTAAAGTAATTCTTTTACTTGGAATTTCATTTCTCTTTCTATATGGATTTCTACCTCCCTTCCCCTGTTTTAAGCTATGGTGTTATTTTTTTCAATTGTTTTGACTTATAAACTGCTGCGGACTCCTCATTGTACAATAGCCTCGTTTTTAGTCTACGTGAGTTTAATTGCTTAATAACTGGTGTTATTCTTTTGAAATTCTTAGATGGAGATTGAAGAACTTATGAAGTGTGATGGGCAAGATTCTTGTGGTTGTGACAGACTTTTTGATTTATATAAAGTTCCATGGTCAAATAAGTTTTCATTCACCTTAAAGCAACTCAGTATTGCTCACTGTCCAAAGGTATGTCGGCTCAAATTTTGTTCATTTATTTTTATTTTCAAGTAAGAAACGAATCATTGATATTCGAGATTGTAAGATCTCACATCGGTTGGGGAGGAGAACAAAACATTCTTTATAAGATTGTAGAGACCTCTCCCTAGTAGACACATTTTAAAAACCTTGAGGGGAAACCCAAAAGAGAAACCCAAAGAAGACAATATTTGCTAGCGGTGGGCTTGGATAGTTACAAATGGTATCAGAGCTAGACGCCGGACGATGTGCCAGTGAGGAGGTTGAGCCCCGAAGGGGGTGGACATGAGGCAATGTGTCAGCAAGGACGTTGGGTCCCGAAGTGGGGTGGATTTGGGGGTCCCACATCGATTAGAGAAGAGAACGNGGGGGGGGGGGGGGGGGGGGGGGGGGGGGGGGGGGGGGGGGGGGGGAGTGGATGGTGAGATCCCCCATTAGCAAGAGGTCATCATTTTCCAGCCACAAACAATCAAGGTTCTCCTACTAAACAATACGAAAGTGAGTTGTTCTAGTTGACATTCATTAGTCCGCTTGGATAGGAGCACCTAGTTGATCGCCCAACACAACAACGTAGTTGTTTACGACGTCTATGAATTAATCCCTTGAGGGTGATAAGGAATTTCTTGTGGTAAAGAGTTGATGAGGGGAGGGTCTCATTTGGTTAAGTGAGAGTTAGTGGTGAAGCTTAGAATTAGGAGGTTTAGGGATTGGGAGTCAGCACTCCTGGCTAAGTGGTTGTGGCTTCCTTCATCTAGTGTTCAATCTAGTGTTCCATATAAACACATTGAATTAGATTGTCGTTTATTTGTGAGAAAATACAAAAAGGGTCCGTGCCACAGGATATGTGAAGACTCGAGAACAATTGGGGCTTTACGGATCTAGAATAAACTATCTTCGCAAGAAGTTGAGTGATTGACGTATTTGCTCAGCTTGAGGAAGAGTGTCATAATATATGTTATTATGTATAGTTGTCCTTCATTGTAATGGTGCATTCATTTAGTTTAAGATTCTCTGGTACATCTATGTGTATGGCCATAGTCTAAAATACAACCATTTTCCTAATACTGAGCTTGGTCGAACCAGAGCAGATGCTCGAGAACGTTTGGGTTACATTTGACATGAAGGAAAGATTGCTTCTCTATGATTGAGGATGTTTACTTTATTTGGGGTATATGGATTGACACGAATAATAAGGATTTTAGAGAGGTGGAGAAATCGGGCGAGGAGGTTCGGGAGGGATTGGATTCGGTTAATGGGCTCTTTTGTAATTATGGTCTTGGTAAAACTGAAGTTCCTCTTGCTTCTTTCTTGTGACGGCCGAAACCAACCGTTAACAGATATTGTGCTCTTTGGGCTTTCCCTTTCGAGCTTCCCCTCAAGATTTTTAAAATGCATCTCCTAGGGAGAGATTTCCACACCCTTGTAAAATATGTTTTGTTCTCCTCCCCAATCGATGTGGGATCTCACAATCCACCCCCTTTGGGGCCCAGCGTCTTTGCTGGCACACCGCCTCGTGTCCAACCCTTTCAGAGCTCAGCTTTCTCGCTGACACATCGCCCAATGTTTGGATTTGATACTATTTACAATGGCCCAAGCCCACCGCTAACAGATATTGTCCTCTTTGGGTTTTCCCTTTCGGGCTTCCCCTCAAGGTTCTTAAAACGCGTTTCCTAGGGAGAGGTTTTCACACCCTTATAAAGAATGTTTCGTTCTCCTCCTCAACCAATGTGGGATCTCACAATCTTTCTTTTTTTTTTTTTTTCTGTTTTTTTTGTATGCCCTTATTTTCTTTCAACTTTCTGATTGGAAGCTCGATTTTTTTCTTTAAAAAACGTATAGGATGGATTTAGCATGATACGATCACAATTACCCACAGCTAAGTGTTCTCATCAGTATTTATTTTACTTGCAGATTCTATGCATCCATCTAAAACGTGTTTCAACGAACATGTTCGGTGACGTACTCAAACTTCAGGTATCAAATTTTTCATTAGTACTGACTTTTGACCCCTAAATTAACAAATATGTTGTAGAATGGGAAATGTCTTCATCTTCTAAACATTCTTTTCCTTGTATGATTTTTCTGGTGTGAGCTCCATGGTGAAAGGTTGCATAGCCTTTTATTAACGTTTTGCAATCTCCTTCCTTAGGGCCACATTTCTTTCCCGCTGATTTTGGACATGTCGCCGTTCATGTTGACGGGAGTAGAAATAAAAGACATAGAAAAACAACTCGGAAAGCAACATTCATCAAATAAAAAACCGAGCCACGGTCTCGATGTCTTCAGAAGACAGTTCGATACCACAATGCTAAATTACATAAACGGACTAACAGGAGAGGACGACTACCCTACGAATCTCGCCTCAGGTGTGCCCTTTTGCTCAAAACAATTAAAACCTTCTGCCGTAGAAACCAGTTCTTCTGAAACTCGATCGAGCTCGGAAACCTGGGATTCAAACTTGTGCTCCAGTTCCCTGGTACGTCTAAACTTCTAATTGCTTTCACAGCATGGATTCTTGAAGTCTGATTTAGTTCACTTTTGAGCCTCTGTGGTGCTTGTGTATTCTCTTATCATACAGGACACTAGGACTAGCCAAATCGAACCGTCAGAAACTTATTTGTATCGAGTCGTTTCAGTTGTTCAGCATTTCGGTAGAGCCGGGGGTGGCCATTACACCGTTTACCGAAGAGTTCAAGATAGCGACGCACGTTTGCAGGATGTCTCTACAGAATGGTTTCATGTATCAGATTCAGAAGTTCATCTTGTTTCTGAAGAAGAAGTTCTTGCAGCTGAAGCTACCTTGCTGTTCTATGAGAAAATCTAGAATGCTGGGTGCAACGTGTTCGGTTCGGAGTCTTAAAAGACGAAATTTGTGAAATCTAGCTCACAATTGTTGATCAAATGCCAGCAAGGGATCATCTGCAAACCGGAGAGCCCATATAGAATCAAAAGACAATACTTAGATTTGAATTAGTTATGTTACAGGAAAGAGTTTGATTGTCTTTGGCGATCTTATAAGCATAAGATTATAGGTTCTTTTCAGTAGTTTATGTATGCCGCCATTGGGCTGGAGGTTTACTTCGTAGCCTTCCAGACGCAAACACTAACACTTTTGAATTATAAACTTGATTCAACTTAAAAAAAGAGCTAAAAATTGGATTACAAGGAATATCAAATTATGCAGTGAAAGAGGTAGGTTTAGATCTCTCTATTTATCTTAAAGATAAATCCCACCTCAGTAGGGCTAGTTTTCGATATAAAATTTGTAGAGTCATAGACTAATCACGACACGGAGAAACTGACTCACTAATGATCTTAAGAAATCGTTTTTGATGTGAAAGATCGGTCAGAACTGCAACTACAAAGCATATCAAGAGTTTCAAGAGATCTGACATATCATATAGCCCGTAGAACAATCGTTTGTGTTTTTCACATTATTATGAATCAAAGGTGAACCTACTTCCACCATCTTCGTGCATAAAGATGATTTTTTTTTTTGAAATATGGATTAAAACTCTACAACTTTGGGGAATGAACCTGAAAACTAAAATCTAGAAAAAATTCATTTGCAAAACACATGAAGAAGACGAACCAGAAGTGGACACGTGTTGTGTGGAGGGGAGGCGTATGCATCTAGAATCGGAGGTGACACAGTCCATCGGCAACGACACACATCTGAGGTAGAAGTAGACTCGCAGTGACTCGACCAATTCAAGATTTGCGACCTACAACTCGAATTGACGCTTGATCCGACACGACTCTATAGGTGCGCAAGGAGCATGAGTATCCTTCCTCTATTGCGCTCGTGAATCTGCGTGTTGGACTCCCTCCTTTTGTGTGGAGTCGTGTGATTGCGCATGGTGAGTTTCTTTTTGTCCTGTTTGACCTCCGTTCGACTATTTTTCATCCTGATTTCAATAATAACCTTAATTATACTTGAATTAGGGCCTACTGGTAAATTTTCAAAAAAATTAGAGCTTTTAACACATGGAAAAGCTAATTTGAAAAGGCACGCGACATCCAAGTCAGTAACCTCCTAGACTTTCTTAAGTAATACTTGTAGGAATTGCTTGAACGTGCAAATATGCGAGCATATTTTTTCTTTAAATTATGTGTAGAAGCGTGTCGAGAGCCCATAAACTAGCCTTGAGAGGGGACAATGGATTACATAAACAGTTTAGCTCATGATAGGTGTCACTATCCTGTGTATAAATAGTTAGGGGTCTCTTGAACAAACTCGTTGTATTGTAAACTCGCTTTGAGAGGGGCATGGGATCACATGGGTAAACCAAGTAGCTGGTAGACACACAGGAGTCTCTCCCCTCGATGTTGACGGTATAGTTTGTTCTATGAAAAGGTCACCAGTTAACCTTACATGGATGTATATAGACCAGATTCTACTTTTTCTTTTTCAAGTGAAGGATGTTACTGGTCAAGGTGGAGGGGTGCTCGAGAGCTGCGCTGTCACAAAAGGGTGTCGACTTGCGATGTCGGGTTAGTCTGTATCCTCATGGGTTGTATTTGTACATATTTTGTATCCCATTCCCGTTCCCCATTTGTAAATAACTTGAACAACACTTATTCTATAATATTTTCGTTTTGGATCTTGATTATGATGTTATATGATTTTAGTTCACGTAAAATTTTATATGATTGTTTGCCAAAAATATCTAGAATGCTCGAATTAGGGACCTCCACAATTATATGATATTGTCCACTTGGGCATAAGCTCTCGTCCTTTACTTTTGGTTTTCTCAAAATGAAAATGTATTCCTTACTTATAGACCTATAATCAACCCCTTAATTAGTCAATGTGGGACTCTTCTCCCAATGATCCTCCCCTCAAACAAAGTAAATCATAGAGCCTCTCCGGAGGCCTATGAAGCCCTCGAACAGACTCCCCTTAATCGAGGCTCGACTCTTTCTCTAGAGCCCTTGAACAAAGTACATCATAGAGTCTCCCTGAGGCCTATGGAGCCCTCAAACAACCTCCTCTTAATCGAGACTCAACTTCTTATCTGGAGCCCTTGAACAAAGTACACCATTTGTTCAATCGAGGCTTAACTCCTTCTCTAGAGTCCTTGAATAAAGTTCACCATTTGTTCAACACTTGATTCACTTTTGACTGCGCCTTCGAGGCTCACAACTTTATTGTTCGACATTTGATAATTCTATTCACATGGCTAAGTTAACGGCATGGTATGATATTGTCCACTTGATTTCCCCAAAAGGCCTCGTACTAATATTATGTATTCCTTACTTATAAACGTATGATCAACCCCTTAAGTAGTATAAGTGAGACTCTTCTCCCAACCATCCTCAACCACTGTTCTAAAATATCATGATTAGCTATTGGTCAAACCCCATAATTGTATTTGACGGTTGTATATTTATTTTTAGAAAAATAATATAGGTATGTTAGAATAAAAATACTAGATATTTTAGAAAAAAAATATCTAGATATTTTAGGAAAATATTTAGATATTTTAGAAATAGATTGTCTCGTATCTACCATAGATACCCGTACACCCTAACTAAATTTTCACCCTGAGAAATCCCAACCAGTCTCAAGTAGCAAAATGGAGTAGTATTCTACAAAGTGTTTTGCAATCTCTTCTCGATTAGCCTTAATAAAGGGTGCGAGTGTTTCTCACAAAGAGTTATGTTCAACACGAACGAGCACACTCAACAATAGATTGATTCTTGAAGAAGAATTTTGTTCTTCAAATTAAGTTTCTCGCTCCGATTTTCGTAGGCTATACCCTGTTCCCGTATTCAAACATGTGAATATTCTAAGTACAAAATACGCCCTGCCTAGTCGGTAAGTCCCTTGTTTGATTCTAGTGCTCCGTAAACATCATAATAAAGAACGAAACTTTATTCATTTTCATTCGTTCTCGTTCCCTTGAAGTGAACCGAGAGCATCCATAGTAAAAGCCAAATGAATTGATGCCCTCATATAAACACACAAATTTTGTACGAGAGATTTGTCTTCTCCCTCCATTATTCGTATCAAACATGTTGACATGACAGCTCCATTAGGTACACTTTCCCACCATGGACATACACATAGGTATCAACCCTTGTTAATCAACTCATTAATTACTTCTTTTATGATCATAAAGTCCATTTATTATTATCCATTATATGAACATTAAAATTTTAAGGTTCCAAAATAAATAAATAAATCCCAATCCATCAAATAATTTATTTTATAATATGGTGAGACATTTCATGAAATTTACAATTTCAATCCAATAATATTATTATAATTTATTTTAACATTTTGTAATCGAGGTTAGTGATGCGCGGTAACTTGTAAATGTTTGATATTTGAACTGTATGAGATATTAATTATTAATATAAATATGTACGGTGAATCAATATAATTTTTTTAAACTAATTAAAAAAAGAATAAGGTGATAACCCAACCCAACACCCAAATTGTTTGTGTCATTAAACCAACGAACTCAACATTTCAAATTGGTTCAAAATACGTGAGATCCCACATCAATCAAAGAGTGAAACAAAACATTTTTTTAAAAGAGTGTGAAAACCTCTCCCTAGCAGATAAGGGAAAGTACAGAGAGAATAATATCTGCTAGCGGTAGACTACATAACCCAAAACCCAAATTGCTTGTATCACTAACCCAACCAACTCGACATTTTGAATTGGTTCAAAAAATGTGAGATTCCACGTCCGTTAAAGAGTGAAACAAAACATTCTTTATAAGAGTGTGAAAACCTCTCACTAGCATACAAGATAAAGTCTAAAGAGGACAATATTTGTTAGCAGTGGACTACATAACCCAACACTCAAATTACTTGTATCACTGACCCAACCAACTCGACATTTCAAATTGGTTCAAAATACGTGAGATCCCACATCAGTTAGAGAGGGTCAACAAAACATTCTTTTATAAGAGTGTGGAAACCTCTCCCTAGTAGACGAAGGAAAGTCAAAAGAGTACAATATCTACTAGCCGTGACTACATAACCCATCACCTAAATTGTTTGTATCACTAACCCAACCAACTCAACATTTCAAATTGGTTCAAAATACGTGAGTTCTCACATCAGTTAGAGAGGGTTAACAAAACATTTTTTTATAAGAGTGTGAAAATCTCTCCCTAGTAAACAAAGGAAAGTCAAAAGAGTACAATATCTACTAGCAACGGACTACATAACCCAACACCCAAATTGCCAAATTGCTTGTATCACTAACTCAGCCAACTCAACATTTCGAATTGGTTCAGAATACGTAAGAGTAAGATCCCACGTCTCTTAGAGAAGAAAACAAAACATTCTTATAATAGTATGAAACCCTCTCGCTCTGTACCAGATTTGGAAAAGCCCGAGAATGAATATCTAAAGAAAATAATATCTAGTACACAAGGAAAGAGATATTATTATATGAAAAGGAAATGGAAGTAAGTAGTGGTGGGATGTGTGGCTTAGAGTCCATAGTGAGAGTGTGAAGTTAAATTAATTAATAATAATATTCACAGGTCTCAATGAGTTTATATGAATCCAAAGTGTAACCCCCACCCCACGATCATCCCTCCCCCTCCCTTTCTCTCTGCCTCTCCATAACGCCCTTAACGCCCTTATCACAATCTCTCTCTTTCATGCAAATCCCAATCTCTCTCTCTCCACGTGAAAATCATCCTCTCCGCCCTCTCCCCCTCCCTCTCTCCCTATAAAACCCTCCTCTCCGCCCTCCTCCCCCTGCAACACCCACTCACAACCCTCCCCCTTCTCTCCCCCATGGACCTCTCTTCCCTCCCCTCCAAAGACACCACTTGGTGGCTCTTCACCCTCCCTCACTTCCTCCCCTCCCAACCCTCTCCTCTCCTCCTCC